TTAAAAAGCGACTTCCCAAATTAAATTCGATTCTTTGATGTCTTTTGTTGAACTAAATCTCTTGGTGACAACTAATCGTACATCATACAGAACTACCTTGTAATAATATTAACATTTTTTTTAAAATAAGCAAGCATGTGCACATTAAAAACTATTCAAAACTTTTTTAACTACATTTACTATTCTGCCACTCTCAACGTCACCCACATACAGATTTATTAAATGTACAGACAAACTATTTCCTCTTGCTTTGATTATGTACTTAAGCAATACATTCTAAGTTTAAATGAACTATAAATAGGGTTGATTAGGGTGTGAGTACAGAAATAGTTTTCGGATTGCGTGTTACGGTATATTTCACTTTCATTATACGATGAACCACACGAACTACCGTTGAATGAGGGGTCGGTCATGTTACTGTAGTCAATTTACCTATTAACAAGACAGTATTAAATACTGTCTGTAGTTTACGTGAGAAGTACATATTTATTTTTACTTAGATTGGAGATACCCTCCATCTTTAGCCTGCGCGAAACCTCGGCTGCTGCAAAGCATCCGAAACGTCGACTAAAATATTTTTTTCAAATAAGTTTAATTAATATATTTTCCTTTTTTAACCGATAAAGACAGTAATGTTTTAGTGTCGCCTCCGTAACGCTTAAAATAAACATATTGTGTTTAGCATAAGAGGGTCTAGCTTCAAATCATGATCATGCGGCCACAGCACAGATTATAATAATATAATAAGTAGCTGGAAGATGAAAAAATGTCATTCAAATAAAAACAGTTCTTGTGAGTTAATGTTAAAACGGTTGGAGACATTTTTTTTATTATTTAAAAAAGACTAATTATTTAACACAATTTATTTTTGGATTTTCGCAACGTACGCAACGGAAACACTAAACGATACATATTTTTTCCGTGTTTTTTTCTCCACATTTTTCTGTATTTTCGCTCCTAGGGGCCGCAATATGTTATATAGCCTAAGCCCTTCCTCGATAAATGGTCTAACAAACACAAAAAAAAAACTCAATTTGAACCAGTTGTTCGTGAGATTAGTGCCTTTAAACAAAAAAAAAAAAATAGCGTTCGATACTACAAATAACTATAAATTTTCGGATATACGTCCCCGACGGCAATCTACACGTTCCGGATTTCGGAATCACTCCGATAACTGTGAAGGTAAGCTGATTTCAGTGTTGTGTTTGTGCATGGAGCTGTGCACGAGAGGGAATCTAATATCGATTGGGCACTAACTGCTCAATTATTGGTGTTTGGCGAATACTATTTCGACGTTTTAAATACTAATATACTTGGATTATGACACCGAAGATTATTAGAATGGAAGATATTATTATACAACTAGCTGTGTCAGCGACATCGTCCGCGAGGATGGTTATTTTGGGCATCCAAATTCTTTTTTGCAAACCCCTTCATCTTTAAAAACTCAAGCGACGTCGGTCGCGTCCATTCCCGTCGTTCTTTCAGGTTAATCTTAAAAGATAGACATATTATAGCGTTGTGACATTTAAAGAGAAATCATTCTTACATACATATTTTTTGGGTACCTTGAACCGTTCTTGCAGCGAACGCCTCATACCCGTAGTGATGAATAATTTTCCCCGTTTTCTCCACTTTACCACCAGAACCAGAGAATGAATAGTTCCTCCCCCCCCCCCGCCCCCCTTTTTTCCCCCCCCCCCCCCCGCGGGGCCCCCCCCCCCCCCCAAAACCCCTTTTTTTTTTTTTTGGTTCTCGAAAAAAAAACAATATATTATTTTTTAAAAAAAAAAAAAAAACAGTAGGAGATTAGCTCGTTCGAACAAACAAACAAACTCTTCAGCTTTATATAGAAGTATATATATTTTTAAATGTAGTTTCATTCAATAACAGTTTATACATTAAAAATCTAGTTAGATTGAAAACAATCAACACGACAAGACAATGTTATGGTGTGCATAATATAAAAATATTACCAATTTTCGAAAAAATGGTTTTCACATATTATTGGAATAGAGTTAATGTAGATAAAAGTTGTGTTCCCTTTTCACACCCAATATGTACAGTTTAATGTCCCGTCTGTGTCGTAAATTGTTTTTCAATATAAAATCGATTTTTAATTTATATATATCAATAATTTATAATGCATATACGGCAACAGAATGTGAAAAACATTGAAATTTTCATACTATTCAGGTATTTCTTTAAATAAAAATATGTATATACTTTTGAAAACTTTATTATTTTTTACATTTTACACATGAAGGCACTATACAATTTAAAAATCGAAAATAAATTGAAAAAATTTTCGACTCTGGAGCGACTTACATTGCGCGAGAGGTGCATGTATCAAAACGTTGAAAAAATTCGACGATGAGGTGTAGGACTCGGTAGCTCAATTGGTAGAGCAACAGCACGGAACGCTGACCATGCCGGTTCAAGTCCTGCTCGAGTCGAAAATTTTTTTAAATTTTATTTTGATTTTTAAAACATGTATATACTACCTAAAAACTGCATATAGATGATGCAATTCAATTATTATTTCCGTTGTATATACCTATATAGTATGTATATTCATCATTATAAGCACTAATTTAATATTATAAGATAAGAAATGTAAATATATGAATTAAAATGTCTCACAAGTGCTGTCTGTAGTTTACACATTGAAATAAAACATTTTAACGGTTTAAAACTCCCTCGACTACAGCTGCTGCAAAACATCCGAAACGTCGGGCCGTAGATAAAATAATTTGATACACTACAAGTGATTTTCGTAAAACCTTTAGAGAAATAATATTCAGTCTCAAATAATATTATACCATGGGAAATTATACAATTTAAAATAGAAATTCCCTCGACAATCGTCTCTAAATATTATTGAAAGGGACTTCATTCAAACATTCGGAAATTCGTTAAAAAAACACTCTGATTCGAATTTTGGCAGTACTGTAAACAAAGCTCCTTTTTAGCCATTTTCACGAATTGGTGTGTTTAAATTTTTTAATAAAACACTTTTACGGTTTAAAACGCGATATATTAGTTACACTTATTTGAAAATGATTTTTAACTTCGGCCCGACGTTTCGGATTTTTATAGAAGTTACCCTTGATATTTTTAAGGGTTGTAAGTTTCGTGCAACGGATTCAAAAAACATTAAACAACATTAAAAGAATAAATGGCAACAAGAGTAGTTGAACGTACCTAACGAAGTGTTTATGGTATTCGTAGGGATTTTTCACAGACAATATTTATGAAATTAAATTATTTACTAATTGCACTCTAAAGGAATACGATAACTATCGCACCCGGAGCGTAAGTTGAGACTTTTTGATTAACTACTTAACAAACTTAAAATAATTAAAGTCGAAACTTTGCTAATTCTGTTCAATTTAACCTTATTGTGACTGAGCATTTTCTTCAGGGTTATTTTGAAGACGTGCTAAGCGTCTTAGAATCGTATAATTTCTCCGCTATAAATAAAATTAAATGCAGGTGCAAATTTCATATCTTTTCTTAGAAGTTGTGTCGGTATTGGTTGAAAATGATATTTTTATCTGTAGTTGATTTTTGTCGTTTATACGTCAGTTAAACAACTGGTGACTTATATAAATTAAAAACGGACACGGTAGCTCAATTGGTTAGAGCAACAGCACGAAACGCTCTGATGCCGGTTCAAGTCCTGCCGATGTCGTAATTGTTTTAAAATGTATAATCGATTTTAATTTATATAGCGCCATCATGTACAATGACATGCGAAAAATATTAAAGTTTTCAAACTGGTGGCCATTACTTTTTTAAAACCAAGTTTAAGTTGTGAACTTGGTGAACAAAATTAGATTCTTTTACAAATTAAATATTAAAATTGTAAAAGTTAAGTTAGTTGTTAAGTTAGTTGAAATGTTTTTCTTTGGACAAGGTTTACTAAACACGAGAGATGAGCTTAGCCTTTAGAGACCAACGCAATGCAGAACTAATGATTGACTAAGCGTTACATTGGAAGAAATCCAGACTACTCTGAGGTCTGGCTGACGGCCAAGGACACCTCGTGACGCCGCCATGACGACAATTATCCCAATGTTGGCACTCTTATACTAGGTTATTAGTTCTCTACGAAGGCTGCTACAGAGAAAGTAATATTTTCTGAAACACGCATTAGTAGCCAAATATATTATAGATAAAATCATATTTTTGGAAGATTTAAAAATGGAACGTTCTTCTATTTTGTAACGTGGCGATCAAAGAGGCAACTTATCAGAGGTTTTATTCAAATTGCAAACTGGCTGGTAAAGAAATATGGAATTATGTTATTAGTTGTTCGTCAGCTTCGTCATAAGTGAAATCCTAACTTGTTACTATGCTGCGCGTTGGCCGCATGGAATGATGGAATTATTGTTTCCTAGCTTGCGTTTCATCTCTTACCTACCGTGTCATAAGTATTATTTCTTCTCTAAAAGAAAAATAATATATACGATCACTCGTTTGACGTGAACGGAGACAAACGCGATATATATCAGGATAATTTTATGTCAGTTCCTTTTTTAAGAGGTTGAAAATATATACCTACAAAAGTGCAGCTAACGTGATTTTTTATACATATAATACAATCTTGGACTATACACTAAAATAATTATGACTGAAATACCTCATTCAAACTTCATAGTTTGCTCTTAAACCTTAGGTATAATAATTTCCAGACTCACGCCAAGCTGACGTTAAAATTTGCCAGAAGTTTCATTAAAACATTTCCCAGCTTTCTTTGAGATATTTCAAAAGTTAAAGTACGCTTAGAGCTTTAACGCTTTGTGTTGTAACACTATATTAGTGCAGTGGAGTTTGAGAAACCTAGTAATATTTCTAGCAAGTATTTGAAATTTGGGTCATCGCCTATCATAGTAATAAATGCCGTGTATAAGCTCATACTTTACTTCTGGAACTAATATAGCATCTAGATATACGACCTTGTTTCAGATTTTACAACAGGCAATTAAATAATCACTATGGCTCTGTTGAGTAGGTCTCTTGCTCTCCGAAACGTCGAATCGTAGATAAAATAAATTTAAACTAACTTAACGAATACATTTCGAGTTTTAAACCGTTAAAAGTATTTTATTTTGATTCTTCACATTAATTTACTGAATAACCTCCATAAAACTCTATATTTATTCATTCAATTAGTATATTTCTCCTTCATTACATTATTTAAAGTTAGTTTACGATGCTGCGAGCCGCAGATAGCTTTCAAATAAAACCTACTTTCCAATTACTGGTGAAAATAAAAATCTATGAAACGATTCATATTTTAAATACGAGTCAATATTGCGATGCTGTTTCACTGCATCCCGATTCTGCTATTTACACAGACCTCTCGATAGCTTGTCTACCTTCGCTAACTTTTTACTTTCCGAGACATTTAACACAAGACACGAATGACAAATGCTGTCGTTATATTGTCATCGTAATGCTTCTTAATTTTTATAATAATTGTGTAACATGTCAATTTTATTCGCCTACTATTATCCTTTCACTTGCCTCTCACTGTCCGTGAATTACCAGAATCAGGGCCCCGATCGAGTGCAATATTCACTGTGTACAGTCGCATCGGGAAAATAAATGTGTTAGTAGCTATGTACAGTCGCACTCGCAACTTGGAATAAATTACATGTATGTTTAGTTCTCATTCCAACACAGCACACAATAGCTCATCCAGCCTTAGTAAATGTCGTACTTCAGTAAAGCTCTTATGCTACAATAGGGAATTGCTTGTTTTTTTTTTAATTTTATACGGTAGGTATGTAGGGCGTTCTGTTATCTAGTATTTATTCATAAGTATCGAATGAAGGACATTTAATTGTTATCAACGTAACTGATAATGATAAGAGTTACTGACGTCACTATATTTTAATTTACGTTTTACAAACTTGAATATTCTCAACCTGTTAATAAGCTTAACGCTTTTAAATAACCACCATTTGAAAATTATCACGACACGGAGAGAACTGGTGTCGGTCACGGCTGCTGCAAAGCATTCGAAACGTCGGGCCGTAGTTTACATTATTAGGTCAAAACAGTTTAACTAATATATATCGCGTTTTAAACCGTTAAAGTATTTTATTTAAATGTGAACTACTTGCATAAACTACAGACAGTAGGTATTGAAGCTTAACGCTGCTTTTAAGCGAATAAAAATGTTTACCGGAAATACATCGTTCATTTGTTTCGTAAATAATTAAAATCCTTTTCCACAGTATGTAATTTACTAATCGCAATCATGATCCTCTCAAAGAAATTGCAAATCAATATTTTTAGGATTCGAACCCAGGACTTATTGCGCACATCCTTATATGCCATTAAACATTTAGGCAAGACAATGGTTATCTATAACGTAATAAGAGGTTTTTATCACTTTTTATATACTTATATAAATACGACCTATTGAGAGATCTCGTTATACTTGAAATGATATGCACGTGCGGTTCATCAATGGTCGTCGAGGAGTGTTCGATTTAATCACGATGTGATTGGATTGTAGCATCACTAATTAAATGTAAATAGGCCATGTTGTACTGTTCAATTCGAATGTTTCACTTGTGAGTGATTTATCGCGATGTAAACACTTGCATTCGTGGTTCGTACTTAAAATTGTGTCGCCATTGTTTTAATATAGACAGATAAGTACGAGTTTAATGGTAAGTTACTGATTTAGTGACATCTAAACAAGATGCGCTCTCGAGCTTTGCTTTTAGATATTCGGAAAAGAACACAGACTGAAACCGAAACGCGATTAAACTTGATGGCCTTTTCATCCTATTCCTAACACCCATTTAATATCCAAATTTCCAAAGTTAAATTACAGAAAAACAAGTTTAATAGTTAGAATTAAGATCCGTTATAATGTAGCTCAAATATTTTTAATTTGTATAAATGTCTTTACACAACTTCAAGACAAATTCTAACAAACAACAAAACATTAAAACTTGCAACATTATCTATATTAGCCAACTCTTCCAGGTGACTATATAATGTTTAACCACTGTAAAATTATGCAAGATAAAACTGAAATTAAAAAACAACTACGGGCTTTACTGTATAATACACTTATTACTAATGACAGTAATTTTCTACGATTGATGTTATAAGGTACCATTACGATCTTCATTTAGTTTCTTAGTGTGCCGTTAAAATTCGTCGTACTAATATGTATTCAAACATACAAAGTATTTAGTAACTTTAATTATAAGGCAGGTATAGGCATATGAAATTACTAATATTTTTTTTTACAGATGTGCTCGTGCGCGGGTCGGCCGGAGCGCGGGGCGGTGCGCGGGGAGGGGTGCTGCCCCCGTCCCCCGCGCCGCACCCGTCCCACGGCCCCACCGCGCTGCACGTGCTCAAAGCCTTCGTGTTCATGCTGATCATCGTGGGCGCGGTGCTGGGCAACGCGCTGGTAATCGTATCTGTCAGACGGCATCGGAAGCTGCGCGTGATCACGAACTATTACGTCGTGAGCTTGGCTGTGGCGGATATGTTGGTGGCCCTTTGCGCTATGACCTTCAACGCTAGCGCTGAGTTAACTGGGGGCTGGCAGTTTGGCCCAATTGCATGTGATGCTTTTAACTCATTAGACGTGTACTTCTCTAGCGCGTCCATACTCCATCTATGCTGTATATCAGTAGACCGATATTACGCCATCGTTCGACCTCTAGAGTACCCCCTGGCTATGACGCCGCGGACTGTGGCGTTTATGCTAGCAAATGTGTGGTTGTGGCCAGCAATGATCAGCTTCGTGCCGATATTCATGGGTTGGTATACAACAGAACAGCACCGGGCTTTCCGTCGCGCGCACCCCGACCAATGCCCATTTAAGCCCAATCTCCCCTATGCGCTGCTTTCTTCAAGCGTGTCCTTTTGGGTGCCAAGTATCGTGATGTTATCTATGTACTGCCGCATCTTTCGTGAAGCGATACGCCAGCGTGAGGCGTTAGCAAGAACATCTTCGAACTTGCTGCTAAATTCTGTGCATCGGCATCGCTCGCAGCGGCAGTACTATCCGCCAGACCTGCACGATCAGACTGACCCCCTTGATCCAGCGGGCGCATCTGAGCCGACTGATATGACCGAACTCAGCCCCAGCCCGCGCCGTTCGGAAGCAGGTAGTTCCGGATATTGTTCTGGAGGTATACCGAGCTGCGGTTCCGCTGTCAACGCAAAGGCCGCCACGGAGTTGAACACTCAAGGTAAATATGGATTTGATTTTGTCTTTAACACTATATTCAAAAGCGTAAATATCAGATTTTCTAACCTTGTTATTGTTTAAATAAAATACTTTTAACGGTTTAAAACGCGAAATATATTCGTTATATTTATTCAATACTTAGTTTTAATTTAATACGGCCCAAATTTTTGGACGTGTTGCATTAAATTGTGAACTAATATATTCTGCGTTTTTAACCGTTAAAAGTGTTTTTTCCTGAAATATTTTCCGTTAATAATTTCTATACCAACCATTATGGTAGAGAACTGTGACGAACTTTTGAAATAAATAAAGTAGGACTCGATAGATCAAATGGTTAGAGCAACAGCACGGAACGCTGACGATGCCGGTTGCAGTCCTGCCCGAATCGTAATTTTTCAATTTTTTTTCGGTTCTTAATTTATAAATGAGGTACTTATGTTATGTATACATACTCCAATAACTTAGTTGGAAAACAGGTATAAAACTCGATGTAATTAAATGAACGTAAATGAAACAGTTCTCATTTTTCAGAGCTCTTTGAAAATGGCAATTAATTAAGCGAATCGAGCCGCACAAGCTTTGATTCACTCACACACACCTTTCCACAACCAACACTTGACGTTGTTCAACTTCTGTTAAAAATAAATACAAACAAATTGTCCTGAAATGTTAATTATAACGTTCCAATTACTTTATTGTTACGCTTTATTGGCGTGTCGGCCAATTAATCAAATGTTTAATTAATTAAGTAGATACTTTTGAAGCATTGCTTTTCACGATCTGTCAAAGCAACTTTAATTGGAAATATGACATCATTGTCGGGGAGGTCGGACGCATATTTCCAATTTCGTTACAGGGATTTCTAGTAGATTGTACAGTTTATGTTAAAAAAAAAAAGACCTATTATGAATTGTAAAAAAATAAATACGACACGGGCAGAATTTGAACCGTTTCCGCGGTGTTGCTCTAACCAATTGAGCTAGTATTTTCATTTACTTTTTTTAACATTATCTGTATAATCCACTAGTACTAATTTATATAGTGCCACCATTACGTGGTAAAAGAATCTACATATAATTTTCTGAGACGCCCCAGTAACTTTAAAAATTCTTGACTATTAATAGTATGACGACTGATTTGTACAATATATATGAACGTAGGAACGTAGACAAAATTTTAAACACTGCCCATATTTTATGACTGTGAGATCGTATTTTTTTTAACTCAGTACCAATAGATTCAAATGTTATTATTGTAAATATGGGCGCTGCAACAACTGAAACCTCTTTTTCCTCTTGTGAAATAGCAGACACATATTCACTGATCAACTTAGTTCAGAAATTATTTTTGCGTCTCCGAGATTCGAACCCGGAACTTTAAAGTGTTTAATGGCTAAAATAGCAATGTTGACCTATTAATATCCTTATATAGAATTATCTGAAACATTTAAGTCTGATTAAAAAGGATTTCATAAAGTTTACTATCACAAAGTGCGATTCTTTGTTACTATGAGGTATTATGACCACAATGAACTGGGACAAACGCAAAACTTCGTAAAGTTCTCGAGAAAGTTTTGACCGTCGTAGCGAATATTCATGTAAACGGTAAATCTATAATAATACTTTGATAAAACTTAATGTGACAAGCTGCAGGACTTATACTTGAAGTATAGTTGAACGTCTGTAGTTTATGCGGGTAGTATACCTACATTTAAATGAAACACTTTAATGGTTTAAAACTCGATATATTAATTTAGTTTATTTGTAAATTATTTTCAGTCTCCCTGTGACCTACGGCTGCAGAGCATCCGAAACGTCGTAGTTAAAAATAATTCACACAAGTTAAACTAATATATATCGCGTTTTAAACCGTTAAAGTATCTTATTTAAATTGTGCTATATGTAATTATGATTAACATAGTTAAAAATATTATTTTAAATATTTGTGTACTTTATTATGTTTACTACTATTAAAAGACAACGTTTGTACAGTGCGAGTTGTAGGAACAACTCGCACTGAGTGACTAATCAAAACAATGATAGGACATAACGCATTCACACATTTGTTATAAATAAAAAATCTGTCAAAGCAAGTCATTGTGGGCTTAGAATTTAAATGAAAAAAAAAGTAATTTATTATTTTTATAGTCTCTTTTGTTGTGTAGGGGCGTCCTTACGGGCCGCCGGCAAAGCTTGGCGTGCGGAGCATAAAGCTGCGCGCACACTGGGAATAATTGTTGGAGCCTTCTTACTTTGCTGGTTACCGTTCTTTCTCTGGTATGTATAAGTTAAAAATATTAACACATTCCTAGTATATAGATACTAAATAATGGATAGTTGGACCCCAAAATTGTCTCTTTAGTTAAGTTTTATAAAAAATATATATTATATAAAATAAAGTGTTTTAAAGTAAACATTACAATGGCAAGTAAATAAAAAATCGATTATACTACGATGAAATACTCTTTATTTATCCAATAAAACTAATTTAAATATGGACAAACAAAAACATAAAAGATGAAAGCTTCCATTTTAAATATGTTTTTGTTAGCTTTAAGTATTTCAGAAATATCATATATATTATAAGTCCCAATCTTAACGTTATCTTGAAATACGTTTACCTCAAACATTCTAAGTTATATATCAACGTTAATGAACTTGATAAGTGCCGGTAACTTTAGCGTTTCTTTCCTAACAAGGTATCTTGGAAGCGAGTGTGTTATCTGATATTATACCCCACAGGAAAACTTAAGCTGCTCTCCTCTTAATTACTCAATCTTCATTAAGAAGTAAGTAATGACTTACCATGTAGGACGAACCCATTATTCAAAAGTTTAGTTGTTAACGAGTTGCATATTAAATGTTTCATTCGTGTTTCTTGGGCGCGAGTTTAAAACTTGTAGATTACTTCGTATTTTTCGAGTACACACACACTTATTTATTACAATTAGAAAACAGTTAAAAAACCACTTACACTGTCCATTATACTTTTATTTATTACGATTTTTGTTGTTTTTACAAAGTTTCATATTTAATGAAGTAAAAAATTTATTTGTATATTTAAACCCAATATATGTATATGTTAATTGTCATGAAATTATATTCGTTTTATAAATAATATGTATGTACTTGAATTAAAAAAACACGGATAATAATAAAAACCGATCATAAAAGGTTTGACAATTTATTCACACAACGTAATAATTAAAGAGAATGTAATAAAGATTGAATTATCATATTGAACTTATCTATAATGGTTAAATATATATGGTAAAAAATGCATCTTTATACATAAAATCGTTTTTAATAACAAAATGTCTTTAAACAGGTATGTGATAACGACAGTCTGCGGTGAGCGTTGCGCAACGCCAGATGCAGTAGTGGGCGCGCTATTCTGGGTTGGGTACTTCAACTCGGCGCTGAATCCACTGATATATGCCTACTTCAACCGAGACTTCCGCGACGCTTTCAAAAATACCCTCCTTTGCGCTTTACCTTGCTGTTTTCGCTGCTGCAGTTGGAAAGATTCAGCAAACACGCATTATGTTTGATCGTGTAACGCTGTGGTCACCTGTAAACTGAATATTGTGGCAATAATGCTGACATATTCAATGACTGCAATTATTCGAATACTTTTTGTAGTTTATGCGAGTAGTACACATAAAAAAACACTTTAACGGTAAAAAACGCGAAATATATTAGTTACACTTATTGAAAAAATATTTTGACTACGGCCCGACGTTTCTGATGCTTTGCAACAGCCTTGGTCACACACTAAAAGTGGAGGGTTTCTCTAATGTCAAAGTAAACGCTGCTACGCCAGCGCCATCTTTTACATCGTAGTCGGTATTTGGCGAAACTGGGCGGGTGCAATGCGGAATAAATTGTGAGACGATGATGTATACCATATGTTAACTCGTAAAATATGAAAGTTTCATATTACCTGAGGTATCACGTACACTGTACACGTTCACAGGCGACCACATTTGCGTAAGTACTGTCTTAAGTAAGGTCTACAAAACGACATAAATAATATGTTGTCTTGTTAAAGAACAGTCACAAACGAACCGATTATTTAAAACAAACGGGCGTTGTTACGTTTACTTTGGATGTCAATTGTCAATGTCAAAGAAATGACAGCTTATTGATCTTTCATCAAGTTTGTACCGCCATTTTTATTTTTACCTCTAAACGTGTTCTTTACCTCTTTTTGTAGGCCTTACAATACGTTCTGTTGTAAGTAAATATCTGTGATTATTATTTACCTATTAGCAATATCCTACTTTAAGCGTTGTTGTGATAACTGAAGCAGTTAAAGCATTTTGATGTATTCAAGTTAATGCGTATGAGAGTAGAAGATCTTTGTAAATATGCATACGATTTAGGTAAGACGTTTCGTTAATTCGTATAGAACTTTATTTTATATAAATAGTAGACAGTTTCTTCTAGATGTATGAAGTTAAGTGAAATAAGTAAGCTGTAGACGACGTAAAATAAACACAATATTTTTTTGTATTATAAAAAAACTACAAAATGGTTTTATTAAAAACTATGAAAACAAATTGAAAAAATGTTTCGACTCGAGCAGGACTTGAACCGGCATCGTCAGGGTTCCGTGCTGTTGCTCTACCGATTGAGCTCCGGAGTCCTACACCTCATCCACTATTTTTTCAACTTGACTCACGCAATGTAATTTCAACCTTAACACTAGCGTATTAAGTATTTACATTGCGCGAGATATGGTTTTATCGTTGTTATACGACTATTCATTTGTGACTTAAGTTGTCCAGTCTGAATTGGCTTTATGCTCAAATCAGGACATCCTGTATAAAGGTCTATCTTAGTCAGTTAGAGTCATCGAGTTAATGTGTCGCTTCAAAGGTTGTGATCACAACTCCCGAGTATTATTTTATATTCGCCTCGTGCAGTCAGCGGCTCGTAAAAGTGTTGTTACCGAAGTATATGCTTAGTTTAGATCATATCGTTGAATAGAATGTACTATACTTTGTCTAAATTAGGATGACAAGTTTGACGATTCTCGTTCTATGACAAACTGAATTTTTATTTACATTGATTAATAATAAACTCAGTAGAAAATTAATGGTAATATAAAATAGTTTTTTTTTTTAATTTGGCTTAAATACCGCCGTATATATTTTTTAATGTATAAATTACGTCAAGTAAAAAAACAATAAAAAAAATACATTTTCTTTACTAATTTATAAATTATGTCTATAAATTATAAATGTATAATACAAAAGCTTTCGGGCACCTTATTAACTTTTAATGCCAATTTTCATACTTATCATCCTTTGCCACACAAAGCATAGTACACAATATGTAGTTGCTCAAATTGTAAACGCAATAATAAATGTGAATATAGGATTACTTATATGTAGGAGAAATATATATTTGTTGTTACCATGTATTTTATAATTAAACTAAACGCTAAGAAACATACAGATGTAATAAGCAGGTACTTAAATATGCTTGAGTTTTTATGTCTGTTTATAAGGTTGGTAACACAAAATTTCGCTTCATAATATTGCATTCTTTAAACGTAAAAAAGAATCTTAGCGTCCACTTAATTTCTTGAATTACACGAAATATCCACGTTGATAAATTCTTAAGCAAGGTTAACTGTCAAAATTATTAATATATATTTATTATTTACGAGTAATTAGGAAAGAATCACGCAGGTCGTGAATTGTTTAAACGAAGTATTCATTTTAATGAATAATTTGTATATTTTATTTAATCAGAGAGTTTAATTAAAGTGCTGTTGCTCTAACTAATTGAGCTACTATGTCATACACGTCTTCGTCGTTTTTTTTAAACTAAAATCGCTTTCTAATTGTTATGTGTCATCATATGAAAAATATTAAAGTTTTCAGTGAGTTTAGTTTAAATCATTGCAGTGTAATTTAATGTAAATAATTAATTTGCAAAAGGGGAAAACAAATACGTGAAAAATAAGTGTAACATATGAGATTATCAGTATTTATTGTGTATAGTATATAATTCCAGAAAAGGGAATAAAATTTAATCATTATAAGTTATTATATAATTTACTTTTTAATCCATTTGTTATAAATATTGTGCAAATTTACATATTAGCGCTGTCGTTTTTTGTCATTTAAGATATTACTTCGATATTTAAAAATCTTTTTACGCAAGTAGTAATGTAGTTGTAAATATTGTATAAATTAGCAGTAACGAAATTATAAAGCAATAATCGTTGTTAAGCTTCTAGCTTATGTGTGCCATGTGTTTAGATGTATTGTGTCGTTCAGGGACGAATAATGACCATGATACATTACACAATATTAACTTACTAGTTTTTAGCCAGACTCTTAGCTCTTAAATTTGCTTATCTCAGGAACGAAATAACCGAATTCATAGCAGCAGAGAACAATATGTAACTGCATATATTCTTGTCTTCTCTTCTATCTTTTAAATATTTTCTGTTCATTAATCTGAAATCTTCATCTGAATAAATTGGTCACTATTCATTTTTTTACGCATTCCTTCTTGTGATAAGTTTAGTTTTCCTAGATCAGTTTAGTAATTGTTTGGGAGTTTTGTTTTGATATTTATTACTTTTTATTTTTAAGATTGTATATTTTCGCCTACCTTGCACATCTCGTTTTACGTAAACAGTTTTATCATTCCACATTGTGTTACCTAGGATAGAAAGAAAAGAAAAAGATAAAGATATGTGCGATAAGGTCGCCAATTACACTTCATATTTTTAGTATAAAAGTCTCGTTTGTGTTACTTTTTGTTTTTCGTGCAATAAATAAATTATCAAAATTTGCACAAAATAGTATTTGAAATTTATCCGTTCGAACAAATTTAGAACTACATGATAATTATTAACGTTCGAAAGAAAAGCTCGATAACGCATCTAATTTAGATTCTATATGCATGAGGCAATTCACCTTTCACAAAATTAAACTATTGGTTTTTCTCTGTAATAAAAAAATCTCCACACATAAACATGTCTATTTATAAAGAGGACTGCATCCTGTCACTAAATAATAAGGCATTTTTTAATGATACAACGCGGCTACAAAAGACGGCACCGCAGCATTAGATTTGTCACCAATTGCATGGTCGTTAATCGCCTCTGACTACAGCTAGTATTACAAGCTCCGATGGGAGCAGTTGTTTGTAACAAGTGTCGGCGTATGTAGTATGTACAAGTTATAATAAATTGTGAAAGTACATTGGCTTTTATTTATCTTTTATATCTAAAGTAATATTATAAAGCGGAAGAGTTTGTTTGAACGCGCTAATCTCAGGAGTCGATTCTTGGAATTGAGAATTTTTTCTGTGTTGGTTGATCCATTTATCTCATTTGGTTTAGGTTATAAAACAACAGGCTGCGTTGGATGGTAGCGAAGAAACTAAAAAGAAAGGTGACGTAGAAAAAATACAAGGAATATTAGACGTCTCTGAGGGTTTTCCGATGCGTGTGTTAGATTTAATTCATATAGACATTATAGAGATAGATATAGGATTTTACAGGTAGATATAGATATCTGACCTTATAAGATTTTTAGAATATTATGTAAATAACAAGAGGATATAGTGTCAAAAGCACTCCATTTACACAAAACACACAAAGTATTCCATTTCGTTAAACAAGATATATTTCAGCAACGTATTCCCCATAATAACAGCAACACATTTATTATATACATTTTATAGATATTTATCTATTCATTACACAAGGTTACTATACTTAATTGATATATATTGATGCCAATTCAATATAATAAAAAAGTATATATATCATAATGTGTAAATAAATAAATCATAACCTATTTATTACAATATAATAATTTACATCATACCTGGACCCTCTAACGTTCCAAACAACCTTCACATTATAGGTATCAATACAGATATAGGATTTTAAGGATATTCTGGAACCTCCAATGTTCCAACAACATTCCAAAATAAGTTAAACAAGAGATGTTTCTGGTCCAAACACCGTTCACCGTACGTTTTCTCAAAAGCAACTGCCTACCCGCTTTACAGCGCACCCCCTTTTATAACAATCCACAAACAACCGACCAAGTGTTAGACGGACGTTATCGCATATTACTAACATTATTATAAAGATTTTGTAAACTACCTACATTTATACATCACAAAAATAATGATTTATACTAAGTTTAATTATATATATAACAAAATAATACAATAATCCGTTACGTGCGTTACGTAACGGACGTGCGTGCGTAAAATAGTCGAAATATATCTATGAAAGATTGTTTTTCTTTGAATAAATAATCTAAGATGATATCCGAGATAATATATCTATCTTTCAAGATCACAAGAACCGTTTCTATGAGATCAAATCGTCGAAATACTTTACATAGAAAAAAAAAAACGTTCGCCAAGTCAGCTCTTGCTTTATAAAGTTTGAGTTATGTCTTTCCAGTTTTAGCATTTTCTTAGATAGCATTAACTGAGAGAAGTCTTGTATAGATTACTATAATATAAAGTTTCGGTTAGTAGAGCACAAAAGCTAATTCACTAACACAAATAAAATATTTGTGAACTGTAAAAAAATCTTATACTCTTTAGTAAAGTAGATACAACAAGTATAAATCAAAGTTTAGCATCTGCCATACCTACAGACATTGTAAAGATGAGTTTGCACAATAATCTGAGAAAATCTTTCATTCGTCGTTGAAAATGACACAAATAGAAATTTAAATATCTGTAAAATAAACCCTAACAACGCGTAATAAAGATTGTATTCCTGTCACACGTCACAGCTAATTTAAATGTAGTCATTTGGTTTAGAATAAAATGTGATTGAGGCTTTGTCGCAGTTCGTCCCGGCTCTCGTGAGAGTAAGATAAAATAAAGTGGGTTCCTGTGTAGTACAATTTACTGAAATATAAGTTGGCAGTTTGTTGTTTAAAAACCACTCCAATATCGCGTTTTCGATTATGCTCATAGGCGTACATCCGTCAGATTTAGGAAACGAATTTGTTTTCGCTAATATGTATATGTATCTATACTAATATATTATTATTTTGATTAGAGATTAGATGCGACTAATAGGAGCGAAGAGACAGCGGGACATGTGTATAAAACTGGAAAAAGTATTCAACTATTGTGGTTTTCCATGACGTATGCTGCAAAAACAGTTTAAGATACCCAAAAAATATTTTAAATTTTGATTTCCAAAATGACTTTTCTACGCAAACGACGTTGCTGACACAGCAGTTCTGTTATAAATCTGAATAATTTCGTTGTTTGAATATGTTAATCTCAAGAACTAATAATTCGAATTGAAAAATTATCTCCGAGTTGGTTGGACCATTTATCGTGAAAAGTTTTAGGCTATATAACACCAGGCTGTTATCATTAGGTTTAAAGAAATAGTGGCAATAATAGAAAAACAGAGAAATTCATTGTTCATCTTTGAGAGTTACTGTTGCTTGCGCTCTGAAATTCGGCCCAAGCTACACAAAGATGGATAAAGGAATTTTCTCCTTGAAATAAACTAAAAAGTTGTTTGCGATAGTATATGAGTTTGTCTATCTTTTAAGATTAACACGCAAGAACCGTTGTTATGGTAATCAAATTTGGTCGAATGCTTGAATTGACATTCGAATGACAAAAGAACGTTTGTGAAGTCAGCCAGTATTATAATCTATAAGTTTATAGACAATATTTCATTTTATAAGATGTTTATAACTGCTAACGCAAAAAAACGCTTAAAAACGATAAAAAGTGATGCTAATTATGTACAACTTGTATTAAATACATATATATATAATATATAATACGGTTCACTTATTATTAAAAGTAGCTTTAACTAACGTAAAGACGCAAACTCAAATCGAAAGCCAATTTCAAGGGTATTCAAACAATTTTGTCACTTTACAGTAGCATCAATCACAAACTTCTTATCAAATGGACGCACTCAAACCGTTGTTATCATCTAACTTCTGTTAGATTAAGCGCTTATTAGGTTTAATTACTTTGAACTTACTTTATGTGGATGAATACTTGTATTTTTACTATTTAAGTGTCGAAATATTTCATGATAGTAAAATATACTTCTTTAGTGAGCAATTTTATGATACAATATTTTCGTGTGGATATGTAAAAAAACAAAAACGTACAAAACACACGAGTTAGAGTAAAGTTAACGGTTTAAAACGCGATATATATTAGTTAAACTTATTAGAAAATTGTTTTAACTACGGCCCGACGTTTCGGATGTTTAAGTTTGTCGTCACGACGGCTGCTAGAGTGTTTTAATTTACAGCGTGAAACGTCGGGCCGTAGTTAAAATAATTTTAAAATAAGTAAACTAATTTATTTCATGTTTTAAACTGTCAAAAGTGTATCACTTAAAAGTAAAGAATTACTTGAAACATACTTATTATTTTTATAACTATGTCATTTAAATAACTACTACTCTCGTAAACTACATATCTTTTCTTTTCTTTTACCTAATATGTTCTGCCACCATTCAATACATAAGCCTTTCCAGCTTCATAAAACACTCGCTGAACCCTTTTACACGTGTAATGTATATAAGAACAAGATGAATGCCAGAACAAGTGAAGACGAAGTAATACGGTTACACATCGGAAATAAGGGGACGCACTCACAACGTATCTACGAGTATATAATATTACTAGCTGTGTCAGCGACTTCATCCGTGTAGAAAAGTTATTTTTGGCAACAAAATTGTTTTTGGTGTCTTCTTAAAAGATAGACATATAGCATCGCGGACATTTTTTAGAACATGTAAAGAGGAATCATTCTGTCATACATATTTTTTTGGTATCTCGAACCGTTTTCGCAGCGTACTCATCGGAAACCCATTAGTTCTTTCAGACTTCCCGCTGACAGTTAATTTGTAACAGCCAAGACAAAACTTCTTCTTTCAATACGATCCGGTAATTTCTGAGATTAGCGCGTTCAAACAAACAAACAAGCTCTTCAGCTTTATATATTTGTATAGATTACGTACCGTACAAAGCGTACGCACACGCGAACCTCTCATTATCAACTTTCTGTCCTAATGTGTGTGATAATGATCAGGTCCATCCTAAGGGACTGGCCGAAACGTGAGTTAATTAATAAACCGGGAAAATTTCAAGGAACTTTTCTACTCGCTTAATCAATACGTGTTGAACTGTGGCTTCAGAATATTACGACATATAATTATGCCTTTATATGTGTGTTAGCGAATTCGTCCGCATAGAATATTAATTTTAGGCATCCACATCTGTTTTTACAAACCTCCTTTTCTTATTTATAAATTGCCCACGCCGTCGGACGCGTCCCGTCGTTCTTGCAAGGTAATCTTAAATGATAGACATATACTATCGTGGACATTTTTTACGCGTATCTTGAACCGCTTTCGTAGCGTACGGAAAGCCACAGAAATGAATAACTTTCCCCGTTTTTTCCACATTTCCCGTTATTTCTTCGCTTCTATTAGTCATAGCGCGATGTTTTATAGCCTTTAACACAAAAATAATTTTTCAATTCGAACCAGTAGTTCCTGAGATTAGTGTGTTCAAACAAACAAACAAGTAAACAAATACCAATATATAAAACAAGTAGTTTTGTGTATTGGTATATATAGAAAGCCAAAACTTTAAATGATAGAAATTCAAAAAGTTATTAATTAATGAATATGATATAAGTTGACGTTGGAAATTAAAATCTATAGTAGGCTAGATAAAGTAAGTAAATCTTATACAGAGGATACATTTCTACCTAAAGTGGTGAATTCGCGCTCGGGGTCATTGATTTATTTTATTACACGTAATTTTTTAATCGTAACTTACGAAAAACAATATTACAGTAAAGCACTCACTTAGATCACCCAAATAAAAATACTATGTAGCATTTTTATCTCTGGGTAAGAGAATAACAACTGCTTACTTTGAATATAACTTGTTCAACCTTTTGTCTAAACATTATATATATGATATTAACGTTTAAGATACATTATTACCATTTGTAATAAACCGATCACATTATATACCACGGTTCACTACACAAATAGGACAATATTCCACGAGGTACTGAACCATGTATGTTACATCGCTGGAAAACTTTATAAGCAATTTATATACGACGTTGTATGTCGCAATAAAATGTAGCAAACAATTCGATTAATGAAAAGGCTCCCCGGGTAAATTACCTTAATCCTGGATAAAGTATACGCCCAGGCCGCGACCGGACAGAACCCTTTGCGGGTTTATTTGTAACTGGCCGAATATGCGATTAACTATTATCGGTTTCACATAAAACCAAAGGTTGCCTCTTGCGGTTTCAATGAACCATTTTCTAACGAAACGTTAGCCTTCATCTGTTTTATCATGAAATCCGTCCCTAACTTTAATTAAAACTGAGTGCTAATATCATTTCGAACATGAGTATTTATAAATTGTGTAAGGCTTTCACGGCCATCGAGAAGGGGCTCTTGACGTTTCGCCATCACGAGCGGACGGCATCATCAGGAGATGTTAGATAGGACTCGTACTCACGAAAACTAAAGCTACCGTTGCTTTTACCAATAAAGCTACCGTGTCCTCTTCGAATTTATTTCATTCCCCTATACCTTTAATTTTTTAAATCATAGATAAGAATCTCTATTTATCTAAAGTAATTGAAAACATCAATGAAAATTACAAAAATCATAAAGCTTAAGAAATTATTTGTTTGAACGCGCTAATCTTAGAAACAAGTGGAATTCAAATTAATATTTTGTTTTATAATTAAATAACATTTAGCGAGGAAGATTTAGGTTGGATAACATCATGCTGCGACCAGTAGGAGCCAATAACAGTTTAGAATGTGAAGAAAAAACGAGTAAATTATTTATTTTTGAGAGCTTCTATGGCGTTTGTGAAAAGGGTTTGAGAAACCGAAAGATATATAAGAAAGAATAATTCCTCTTTAAGTGTTCTAAAAACGATGTCTACGTCAGTATATTTCATATTGTAAGAATAATTTACAAGAATTTGTTATTACCAATTATCTTTTACAGTTATATCAACAAAGTAATATTAATACTGCAAACAAAACAACGTTTGCCGCATCAGCTAGTTTAGTAAGTCTAAGCAGAACTCGACCTTAAGAACTTAATACGTGAAAACTTCAAGACATAATTACGAATTTAGTAAAGCGGTTGGATAGTGTGCAGAGTAGTTCACAGGTAATATAGGGTGGTATGGGAGAGGACAGGTAATTAGGCGAGAACAGAGGCTCTCGAGCGAGGCAGGCGGTGTCGGGTCTGGGGACTGAGCGGGAATACGAAGCGGTTAAATTGGTATTCGAGTACGAGCGGTCGCCAGGGTCGGACTCAGTGTAGTGAAGGCCCGCGATTATCTGTTTGAAATAAATACGAAATATAAAATTGGCCTTCTAGATATTTTCACAAACTATATGTAACATAAATTAAAGATTGTAGACTTGAACTGTCATCATCAGCGTACTGCTTTTTTTTTTACGTGGGGAAATCCTTTCGGATACCCACCCCACCAAAAGGAGCGGCCCCAAAACCGAACCCTGAGGCACACCGCAGGTCATTACGTGACCTTTCCAACCATACCTTCCTTGAAATTCAACTAGCCTGTTAGAAAGGTCCACAAGCTAACACAAATAGAAAGGAACTCTGTGATATCGTAAAGCCTCCTTAATAGTGGCCCATGGAGGAGTATTAAATGCATTGGCAATATCAAGAGACACTGCCAAAACAATCTCACCATACAATATAGCCTTTTCAGAAATTGTCTTAATACGCAACAAAGCATGCAAAGGGGAACGCTGTCTTTGAACCCAAATTGAAAATAGAAAGATTAGGACCCTTTCTTATACTTTTAAAGATAATAACGTAGTCACATTCAGTAACACAATAGAACGATAAGCAGAAGGAGAGTCAAGAGGACGGCCATCCTTGCGTAACAACACGAATTTCCCTGTTTTCCACTGGTGTGGAAATATACTCTCTTGTAAACAAGTTGAGAATAGATTTTGAAGCCTTGGTCCCAAGTCTTCTAGTGCAAAAGCCAAAACCCGACCAGGAACTCCATCCAAGACCAGGAGCTGTTTTTTTAGCACGAAGACGCAAAACAGCGCCACCAAACTCAGCATCTGTAACCAAAAAAACTTGAGAAAATGACATAATTGTGGCGCAAACGCTGCACGCATCGGAAATAACTTTTTAATTACCCTATCAAGCAGCTGAGGCTGAAGACTTTGAGAAAGTTTTGGTGCCCAGGGGCGAAGCTTAGACATAGCCATTCTATATGGACGACCCCATGGATCACTATTAAGCGTCTCTATAAACTCCTCCTGAGACTTAAATTTAGCCTTTACAATAGCAATCAGCGTGCTGCTGCTCTAACTAAAGCACAGGGTAGCTAGACAGTGAAAGTGGTTAGGTTGGGTTACTACCGCGTAAACGCCTGTTTAAGTCCCGCCCGTGTCGTTTTTTTTTTCCATCTATAAAGATCTTTACAAATAATTGAAATACAGTACAGCTATTTCACACCACTTCATTTTAAATCTAGTTATAATATTAATCCAAAGCTTACTACATAGTAATAATATTTTTTTTACTCTAATGCTAATTTTTTAACACCATATAAAAAATGTTTAGAAATGTTTAAAGGAATCTACTTTTTAGTTTCAATTTTGTTTACTACTTTTTATAAATGCGTTTCTAAAGTAATCGTTGCCTAGAGCCGCGTTGTGCTTTATGTTATTTTAGTGTTTAGAATATTTTTTATTAAATTTCCAGTACAAGCCTGGCGTATGGAAGAAAATATGAGGTGGAATCACCCCCACGCTTCGGAGAGCACGTTAAAGTGTCGGTCCTCGTTATCGTCAAATACTAGGGTAGTCGTTAAAGCCCGTTTATCCACTACAGAAGCATGGTGGGTCTTAGATCAAACATCCCCTTTTTTGCATTATCAGATGGAAATTAAATAAAGTTAATTCATAATTTAATTACTGCAATGAAGATCGCTCCGGCTCTGTATAAACAACGCAAAAATTAACTTACCCGAACTACATCAACCAACTACTTAATATAACCAACTTTTTACGACCTACATTTGCTTCCAAGTTAAATGATACGTGTTAACTTAATTACTTGCATTCTACACTTGTTTTTCTAGTAAACGGGAAAAATAATCTCATATTTAAGGTATGGAAGTTCACTTACTTGTTTTGAAAATGTAATTTTTAAATATTATCTGTAGTTTACGCGGGTAGATACGTACATTAAAATAAAATACTTTAACGGTTTTAAACGCGATATACATAATTCAAATAAGTTAAATTACTATGTATCTTATTTAAAAATCGTATAAAGAATTTTCGTTTTTAAATTATAAATGTGCAATACATTTATAAGCTTTCAAATACTATATAGCTTATTTAAACCGTTGGAAGTTTTTATTTAATTTAATTTTAAGCTTCAAAGACAAAGTTGCAGTTATTTATACTTCTTCAAGAGGAAAATTTGGAATTTACGAATATGACATTCTACAATAGACATTTTTTATCATTACTTGACAATTAGATGGAATGATTTTTCTTGATAAAGGGACAATATGCAACTCAAATCATTGGCTTTGAACAACTAAAAAGACCGGAAAACCCGTATTTACGCTTGACGGTTTTTTCATGTAGTTTGTAACCCGGACTGGATTTCGATATTCTTCTCCCCGATATCACCCATTTGACGTAATTTTAAATTATCAGACGGCGTCTGAAAATTTAAAAACTATTTATGTATAGTTTGTTTGTAATCAGTAAAGGTCAAAGCAGTAGCACGGAACGTTTATATTTTTTATCCAAATAGATGAATACTGTACCAAAGGTTGCGTCCAAAATGCCATCCTTCCACGTATGTTTACCGAACATACTATTTGATATTAAGCTTGGCATATTTCAAACGTAAGGATTTTATAGACGCATAGAAAATAATAAAAGTACGAGGGTAACATATATTACAAAATCCAACATAGGTATTAATGGATATAAGACAATGGTGGATCTATACAACTACGATTTATGTGTAGGTAATTAGTTTCAATAAAATTTTAAGAAAAAATATTAAAAATACAGGCGGGACTCAAACCTGCGTCCTGCCAATGTCAAAGACGTTTTTGAATATACCTATATTATATATTGGTAATTTGTTTTTAAAATATGTTAAGAAAAAAACAGCTAACTTTTAATAAATGTTATAAACTTATTTTGTACCTACATACTACAAAATAGAAAATATTTTAAAGAATCTTAAAAGAAAAGAATGGGACCAGAACCTGCTTATCGCCAGTGACGAAGACATTTTTAATAATAATATTATCTATCAATAAAATTAATATAAAAGACGAAGAAAGTTTTTAACTAATTCAGCAAAATCGTGTATAGTCGTCCTATCCCTGTTTTATAAAAAAAGAAAAGGCCGCCCAGCGTTATCTTTATGAGAGACTTATCTGGATATTTTTCTCGCTATTTCGTTGAAAATTTGTTCAGAAAATTGTGTCTTGTTTTAGCAATTTCGCGCAACACACGAGCACGGGGAGCTACATTATGTGAAGAACGATCGTTATGTAATGAAATATAAAATGTTATACGTTTGTCGCTTCGAATCAATATACTAAATTCTGTATTGTTTTATCGTAAAATAGATATATAATTTGCATTTTAAATAATTTACTTTAGATATTTAGATTTACTATAGAACAAGGTTTTTAGAGTTTAAACATATTAAGATTTTTATTAATAT